ACACATCAATATTGACAGAGGCTACTCTAACCTACAGGGATCCATAACAAACTAACAGGAACTACAGCGTCGATAATGGCCATGATGATGGGTTTGTTTGTTCTTGATACACTGGAAAACACATCGAGAGCCTGGTAAGTTGTTCTGGATAAAAGTGCTGACGAAATGCACCACAGCAGGCAGCGTTTCTTGCAACAAACATGATTTAACCTATATCCAGGTATACAGGATTCTCTAATGGATGTTTTAAATAACTGATGTCTGGGAAAAACACTCTAGCTTGTAGGAAATTATGCATTTTATATTTTACAACAAACAGAAAAATGGGTATCTCAGGTGAGGAGCGATATTCACCATGGCTGTACAGAGACAAATAAGCACCATCAACAGAGTAATGTCACAATCGGTGTCATATATCATTTATATATATATCCATTCTCCAATAGATAATAAAAATTCTTGTTCTGTTAATAGCTCTCTTGCTACAGTATGGTGTCAAATGCTGTCAGATGAAATACATTAATTGATGTAAAGAAAATGGAAATTAATCTAATGATGTATTACGGCCATATTTCAGAAGAAGTGATGGGCTTCAGTTCAATAACAAAAGAATGAAAATGTATTTGTAAAAAAAAAACAACAACAAATAATTGATTTCTAATGCCACCTTTAGCTATTTCTATTCAATGCTTTATAATGTCCTACAATAATGTAATGCTCAGAAGAGTTCTTCATTTGGGGGCTTTTCCAAGGAAATATTGATATATGTGATTGTTTGCTTATTAATTAGCAAATGACATCATCATTGTTATTTTTTCAGACTTGAAAAAAGCAGATTTTTTTCATGCTGAGCAGTGCTCCTTATGGCGAGTAAACTGATCTCTCTGTGTACAACTGGTGAAGCTGTACGTTTTTTTTTTTGTTTGTTTGTTTTCCAGAAAATGTAAATTGTGACACAAAAATAATCTTTCCCCCTAATTGACAATCATATTGCAATATCTGACAAAATAATGGCAATATAGTGTTTTTACCATATTGTGCAGCCCTACTTTAAATATGTACACATAAATTGTACAATAAAGAAGCCATCCTACAACAACTAGTGACAGTAGCTGCCTCCTGTTCATCATGTGGGTGAGTGACTGATGCAGGTACACAACATCAAACCTGACTGCCAGAACACACAGTAGTGGATTGTTATGTCCCCTGTGCATCCTCCCTGAGGTGAAGGACAACTTGGAGGGAGGAAAAATGATAACAAACAACCCCAGTCACAGCCACTGGCTTCTCCGCGGAGCCTCTGAGGAAAGAAATTCCCTGTCGAGGACGCAGTCTGACAGAAGAATGCCAAAAATCTGAGCCCTCCACTACGGAGTGAGACAGCAGGACAGCATGACACACTGAGAGGCTGCCTCAGGTTCTAGTTAAAGGATGAGACTGCAAACAGTAAGACTTAACTGTAGGTTTGGTCTGAGTCATTCTGTGCATCCGTCTGTCTCTGATGTACAGCGGCAGACTGCTGCCAACCACATTCTCATGATGTTTTATAAGATCCTTACAGCTGTTACAGGAACATCATTTTCATGTTACGAGGGCTTATTTGATTGTTATTTCTAGATACAAACATTTCCATTTTACAAGAAACCTTTCTTATATCAACATGACAACATATCACTGTATCTTGTTATATCCCAATTTAGTAAAATCACTCTCATTAAAACAAACTCAACATGACACGTTTGTATAACAACAAGCTTACATATGGAGTGTGTTTACATGTGCTCTCGTATTGTGGTTATGGACAGGTTGTTGGAGTATCCTGGTTATGTTTTGTGCATGTAAACAGCTTATCCTGGTTTCAGAAACCTGGATATGCTACCTGGAGCACAACCAGGATACTGTGGCATGTACCTCATACTGGTTTCTGAACATTTTCTGTTGGGACAGATGATGAGGCATCAAACACACCTGCAGGCAACCAGAAACCTGGATTCTGTTATGATCATGCAGTCTCTACAGGAATATGAAATATGAAAGACTCCAAGTATGCCAGTACACACGTAAACACACTCACATAGCCTTTAGAGCAATCATATTACATGACTGATGAACATTTAACATATAGACACGGGGCAGGTTGTTTTTGTGTATCATGGCTGTGGTGGGTTGCCTTTGTTTTGTTTGTGCACTGACAGTATGCATTATCACCATGTGTGTAATTGTTATCAGTGACAGTCAGTGAATCAGGCTGTGAGTCGGTACAGTGCAGTGCGGACCACACACGTTCAAGTATCTAACAAGAATGAACATCTCCTCCTACCCTACCCAGCACGAGCAGCTCAAACAAGGACAGCTACCGGAACTGACATCAGGGATGACGGTGCGTTTAAATGTGCATTCAGTGTCTCTCTTTCATCAACACCAATGCTCAGTTTCCCCACCCTGAGACCTGATCTCTCCATCTTCTTGTTATAACAACATGCCAACTTAAAGATCCCCTCCACACACAGTAGGTAACTTTCATAAAAATAACTTTTTGACATCATTGCTGAAACAACCAATCAGAGAAAGAAAGATACAAAGACGCTTTGTCGCTTTTGTCATCTCTCTGTCTTTCTCTGCTCTGATTGGCTGCTTTCGTTCAGGCCCGGTGGATTCTTGCAAATATCATTAGGAGTTCTAGGAGGAGCCAGAGGAACCTGCTTTCCCAACAGATTATCTGTCTCATGTACTGCTCTTAGATCAGTCAGTAGCCTAAAATGATCAATTAATCTCCAGATCAATCGACAGAAACATTAATCAACAACATTTCCATTCATTTCAATCAGTTATCAAGGAAAATATGGAACACTTGCAGGTTCCAGCTTCATAAATGTAAGGATTTGCTGCTTTTTTTCCTCTCGTATATATCAATGTAAACTGGATTAAAAAATAAATAAATGTATTGACTTAATAAAAAAGGTTATTTTTGATTAATCAATAATGACCATTTTCAGCCCTATATTACCAAACTGGACAGCTTGACAATAGACAATTTAACATAATGATCAATACTGTACACAGACTGTGGAGCTGCACTCTTCCCAGAAAGGCTGTGTGCCTTTGGAGAATTAGCTTATTCTGAATCTTATGATAAACCAATCAACAGGAAATGAAAAAGGGGCCCTGTTGTATCAAGTGTTTCTGCAGCAGAGCAATGTTACCAGCCACAGCTCAGCTGTCCTCAGATGCCCTCTAATCCAGCGGGCATCGCGGCAATGAGGAGCGTTTCAGGGCTGCACAGTGGATCTGTACAGTGGGTCGTTCTCTCGCTCTGTGGGAACATCATCGTGTACGTTTGTTTTTACTTCAACCGGGATGGAAACAGCAAAAGCACAAGGAGTTTGCCGAAATCCACTGTGACATGGGACGTTCAAGCTTATCCACTTGGCCACTACACATCCAAATCAACCCACCAATTTAAGCTCGGTTGTGATTATGTAATATTATCGGCGATTTGATCCTGCGGCCACACACACACACACACGCACACGCACACGCACACACGCACGCACAAATCCTTCCGGACTGTTTCTCACGCATGATGTCATGTTGGATTCCTTGGAAGCAGGTTATGCAGAAATGTCCGAGCAGCGGGGAGGCGTTACGCAGGCAGTGTTGCTTTCGTTTTCTTTTACATGTGGTAAACGGCAACGCCAAATTCCCTTAAACGAGCCACACATTTGAACCTACATAGGCTCCTCAACAAGATGCTCACATTAAAGAGCACGAATACTAGTATTTCCAAGTAATGATGGTCTGTTTGTACATCCGGCTTTCATACATGAGGTAAATGTGGCCCTTTGGCACTGGTTCTCACAATGATCTTCCACCAAAATAGAAGAGGACAGCGGGGGCTGGACTGAATAAAACATTGGGAGAAAGAAGTGCGACCTGGTGGGTGATGTATGTGCACAGATACTCATTTATAAAACGTCATGTTCTTAAGGGGCATGCGCGCTTGCGGACGAATTAATAAAATATATTTGAGATTTTTTGAATGGAGGCTGGTTTGCTACAAACGGGGCGCATAGCGGTGCCCAGTGCAACACAACGCGCTGCCGAATCCAACAGCCAATAACCAAAATCTATGACAAAAAGATACACACGCCTGTAAAACACTCTTATTTTGATGGTTTTTTTATAATTGTGTACGTTGGTAAAAGGCGCACACAGTTGCTGCACCCCTGTGTTTTAAAGAACAAGCAGGAGTAATACTGATACTGGGCAGTATTGATTAATAAAACACTTGGGCAACGTACAGGCAGAATACTCCAGTTTTCCTACGTAGCGCCACAGACCGAACCATGCAGTTCTGCTACTACAACCAGCATCAAGCTCACAGCAACAGCAACGCCTCCAAATAAAACCGGTTTCAAAATAAAACCACATCGCGAAACCGAATACGTCTACTCACGCCAGTGTTACAGCAATAGGTCCGCTTTGTATTTTTACACGAGTATTTTTGACACCACCTCAGTAGTTGTAAACGACCAACTATCTATTGTACGCGTTTTACCACACGACACAAATTAAAGAAGTTTATTTTGAATATTACATCACTACACTTCCTGTGTCGTTGTGTCCAATTCTGGCTAACTTGCCGCAGCTCACCTCCTCCTCCTCCTCCTCCCTCTCGCAGACAATGAATGGAGCCAGTTTTGGGGAATGGACTAGCCCAGGACCAGTTCAGGTAGCTTAACACCCTTCTAACATGTTAGCCAAAAACATTACAGAAACCGGACAGCACCCCGTCTTAGCTCGGGTTACGCTGTCCCTCTTAACGTTAGCTATCTTTATCTTACCACTCCGAACAAACAGCGACAAGAAAAAAAAAACATGCTGAATAATAATACTCGTCCTGCAACACCGTGTAAAATATTACAGTAAAACAAAGCTACAAAACACATGGTAACATTTCCAGCAGCGCGTCACTGACACCATGAATGAGCTTACGTTACCTGCAGGATGCTCAACTTCACTTCTCTGCGGTGCGGCCACGGCTTCTCAAGCTGCGTCAAGTCAGCAGAGGTGGGTCAGGACCAGACCGGAAATGTACAGATATGGCGTTCAAAATAAAAGCGGAAAAGTACAAGCCTCGGGGCGTTGACTGAAGAGCTCAAGTGGAGCTCAGATATAAAAGCATTATATGCTATTCGTGTCTTTGAGTAAACTTTAAAACGTATTTGCAGCTTTAACAACTGTTGTGAATACAAACACATTCAACTGGTTTCGGTCAGCGCTTCTTTCAGTGCGTAGTGGTTTAATGGTTACATTTTAGACCGGAAACGCCCTGTTTCATTTTAGCTAGTTTGATACTGGCATCTTCAGCAGCACCCCATACAGTACCTCAGATAATTTATCATAACACCTCCAGCTGCTGATATGTGGCTCTCTAACCGTGTCAACTCGGGTCTATTGCTGTATCTTTTCGCTTATATCAGCCTGTTATGGAGAAGTGGTTTAGTTGTTACCGGCTTATAACGTGAGTGGTCCAGTCCAGATGCTGTGGTGGTAGTGGGACGGGTTGAATCCTCCTTGTAAGTTGATGCAATTTACCACCGCGCTAGCATCATCACTGTCAATGTATGGTAAAGAGAAAACAGCATTTCCGGCCACAACTTTTTTAAAACAAAAACCAGTGAACGTATCTATGTAACGTTCAATTGTCCTCCACTTTTAATAAAACACAAAACGTACGTGGGGCGACAGCCATAGCCTACACAATGGGAAATAAACGACAAAATAGCTCTGAGACCCAGGTTATTATCCTCATTATATAAGGTAACGAAAGATATGAGAATGACTAATGTAGTTATGTTAATAAAAACTGGTTAAAACCTGTCCGTTGTCACATTTATCGCAATTATAATGAAGGTAAAATCGCCTAAAATCCGCTTTGTATTTATCTTATTGAAGTTAGCTTCACACTGGCAACATCCCGGCACAGCTGGAGCGCGAGACAAACACGCTGCTGACCATAACCCACGCGCACTACCGCCAGACCCCGCCCCCTTACAGTCGCGTTACAAATAAAGGGCAAACCAAAACCGTGGCTCTCATTTAGGATTTAATAAGCTCATTTGAAACTAGCTGGTTTAAACTTATTTGTTTCAGTCATTAATACATTTTATTCACATTATTATTATTATTACTGTTAGGTTCACACAGAGGTTTGACTTCGGCTCTTTAGTACTAAAACAGTGTAATGGAACACTAATAATATGTGAATGATGCAGCACGAGTAAAAGATCAATCACAAAAACTTTATTCTTTCATCAGTTGAACATGATCTCATTCCTAATGTGGTCTCATTAGAATCATTAAGAGTTGCACTTATTAATTATTCAACAAATATTTGACTCTATAATTGATTTGAATATAGAAGTTTAAAATGTATTCTAATATCTAACCACACCCACATCGTATTCCAGGAATGTGTGGTGTATCCTGACATCATTTGGTCCTCACGCTCTCAAACCTGTGACAACGGGTGCGTCATGAACATCGTACCGCCGTCTAATGAAGACTACAGGGGCCACCCGCATTGAGTCTCAGGGCTCCATTTAGCTTGTTTTTCTACCTGGTTGCCCGGTGCTCCGAGCCCTCCGAGGAGGAGGGTGCTATAGCTGTTGATGATGATAATAATGATGAAGGCCCCCCCAGGGCAGGGCCCAGAATACCAAACCACAACAGGCAATGAGGAGAGTAGTGAACCCCCATTTAAAGCATGATCCTATAACTGGCTTATGCAACTGATCAGAGCCTCATTCAGCATTATGTAACAGCATTAGGTCAGCCTGCTGCTCACTGCTGGGCCGGGGACTTCCACCGTCGCTGTCACCCATAACAATGTGGGTCAGATCACAACTTCAGGCATACAGCTCCTGTTCACAGTTGGGTCCGAGTGTGTGGAGAGAGAGCCAAGGTGCAGCAGGGGTGTCGACGTCCCTGCATCTGAAGTCATCCGCCACCAAATATGAAGTGCAGAATGCACGAGCAGGCTGAATATCCGGAGAGAAAGTGGACCAGCGACAGATTACTGACATAACCCGTCACTGTGCTGAATTAGCCTGCTTTATGTTGTGTATGTCAACAAAACTATCAGCTTAGAGGAAACACGGGTACGGATTTGATCTTTACTCTATTATGATGAAAAAAAAAGATCTAAACAGACTAAATAGATTAAAATAAGTCTAATTCATTCATTGACCAACAGAATTATTTCTCACAAGGTTAAGCTATTTATGTTGTAAGATATTTCTGAATATCTATAGTGACTTCCTTTCAATAATGAGGTTTAAAGGTCCAGGGTGTAGGATTTAGTGGCGTCTAGCAGTGTAGTTGCAGACTGCAAGTCAGTCGTTTCTCCCTCCTATGTTGAGAGGTCCTATCTACAGCCACTGTTTGGTTTGTCTATTCTGGGCTACTGTAGAAACGGTTCAACATACCTATGAATATTATATTCCATTTCTACCAATATATCCTCCTAAAGGTTACACACTGGACCTTTAAATTCTAACACGCAGGTACTCACATTTGTTGATCTTGATGTTTCTTCTGTGGCTCAACTCAAAACTCATTCATAAATAAAACAGGCCCTAACAAACAAAATTAAAGCTGCAGTAGGTAACTTTTGTCATATTTTCAGAATTCTGCTCAATATCCTGACAGTAGTACATGAGACAGATCATCTGTGAAACAATCTGGTTCCTCTGGCTCCTCCTAGTGCTCCTAATGGCATTTGCAAGAATCCACCAGGCCTGAATGAAAACAACCAATCAGAGCCAAAAAACATAGCTGATTGTTGAGCCTCATTCCCAGGGGGTCAAAGCATCTGTATTTGACGTCCTGGGAATGAAACTCAACAATTAACTATCTTTTTTTTTATCTGTCTCATGAACTATAGTGAAGTTTCAGCAGTTTTGATAAAAAAATATTTTGATACTACTGCAGCTTTAAATCTAGCAAAACTCCATAAATAAAACATGTGTCTCTAAACACTATTTCCTTTAGTAGTAGTAAGTATATATTTTGGCTTCATTATGGCGCCCTATAGTGATTATTTCATTCGACAGAATACTGTTTTGGTCTCTGTCTATGTGGATGGAAACCCTATTTCTATACAATCAATCAAATCTTGCCTCCGAGGACCAGTGTGTAGGATTTAGTGACATTTAGCAGCGTAGTTACAGATTGCAACTCCCTCGGTTCACGCTCCCATTCCAAGCGCCAGTGATAAAATGCTGTGGCTGCGAAACGCATTACCTTCATGCTAAAGTCTCCTTATTTAACTTACAAACACACATCTTGTCCTGCGCCTCAGCTTGCTGAACGAGCACCCAAACAACCAAGCTGGGGAAAGTGCCCCGCTAACATCAGTCTGCAGCAGAGTGGGGCTTTTGGAAAAATATATCAGCGACTGGAGTTTTCTGGAGTCCACTGCCGCTAAAACAACCCCTGATGTTATTTTAGTTGTTACAAACTGGACGTGGGGTTTGAAAGACATTTTAAAATATAGTATTGGTTGCATTATGGGAAATGCAGTAGTTTTTTTTTTAGCGTGACCTATTCTAAGGACTAAAATTCACCATATTTCATTCTCCAACTTTAATCCATTACTATGTTTTATGTGGTGCATTGAATTCATCAGACCATGACATAACTGAAAAAAACATATCTGATGCATTTACTGTCAGTTGCTTCTGACGTTTTCTCGACAATACAGGCCAGCACTTTCTAACAAACAGTAATATCATTTACCAGTAGACCTTGTATTAATACATTTACTCCCTGTTTTATTCATTCCATACAAAGAAGAAGTAGAAAGTGTTTGTTGCACTCATAATGAACATTTCTGTGCATGTATTTATTAACTGCAAAAACAAGACATTTCTCCACCGGGCGTTCATGAGAATTCTGCTCGCTGTTACGGAAAAATATACCTGGCACAGCAAAAAAAAAAAAAGTAAAGGGCTAAAATCCAATTATAATTTTCCAGGACAACATAGATTATTTCTAGCATATTTGGTCATTTGAATCAATTTCCAGGTGTATCTATGCCTGGAAAACTAGTCCCGGAATTTCCATGTTTTCAAGGACGCCAGGGAACCCTGATCAGTGGGTTTTAATTGTAATATGAAAGACACAAATGAGGGACTGAAGAACAAGCAGGGGGGACTCAGTGGGTTTTTAGAAATATTGTGTGTGTGGGCGGTAGTGTTGAAGGTACGGTCTCTGAGATTTGCCACCAGATGTCCAAACAGGACTTCAGAGCTCCATCATTTGCCGTCGTTCCCCAACACAAGCCCTGAATGAATATTGTGAAGTATAATGAAGTGTTGTGTTCAGCCGCCCTGCTCATGCTGATCTTGTGATAGGGGATAGGGGAAAAACACATTCCCTCTGCATTACTTGCCAAATGTGTGTGTGTGTGTGTGTGTGTGTGTGTGTGTGTGTGTGTGTGTGTGTGTGTGTGTGTTGCACTGGGGAATCCTGCATTGAAGGAACACAATAAATCACATTTTAGCAGGATCATGTGATTAATGGAGGGAGGGCAGTGAAGCATTTGGAAATCCCTGCTGACCGGGCTTGATGACATTGTGTTTGCCACTTCTGAAAAAAACATGCGCCAATTCCCAAAGTAGTGTGTATAAAAAGAGCAGGTTATCACACAGGGTTAGAAATCGCACAGCACATATGCCCAAACCCATTCTACATAATGAAATCCGGCTACAAAGAAAAGGTCTAATCCGATGGGCAACGGCCCCACCTGCAGGACAGAAGTGTTGCCTACACCTGATTACAGACATTGAACAGAATGTCAACTTTATTGAGTATAATGACAAGTGATTATACAGAATATTGCGGAAGAAACTTTATAGTGACAACTGAATGTCATCAAAAATGTAAAAGATATCAAAAATGGTCCCTCAGAATAACTTGTGTGTAAAATATAATAAGGCACTGCTGTTATAAAACTGACCACTAGAACAAAGCTGTGCAATAAAAAAATAACATGCATAACTAAAATCTAGTCTGCACGATTTGGACATCCATGCTAGAGCTGCAACGATTAGTCGATCAATCGTTTAGTTGTCAACAATCAAATTAATCACATTCAAATCATTTTCTAAAGCCAACAACAAAAAAACAAAAACATTTTCGATTTCTGCTTTCTTCAGTCCTCTCTGAGAGTAGTTTTTTGTGGAAAAAAAAACTTTTGAAGCGTCACCTTGGGCTTTGGGAAACTAGTGATCAACATTTTTCAACAGTTTCTGACATTTTTTTTTATGTTTTATGAATTAATTGAGAAAATGACTGACTTATAATCGATAATGAAAATCATTGTTAGTTGCAGCTATAGTCCATGGAATCCAAGTGATTTAAAGGAAACAATATAAAAAGTATGAACAATTAATGTTAATGTAGTGAAACAAAGCCTAAACATCCATTCACCATAGGGATCAACTAAGTTTCATTTGGTGTCGTCTAATAAAAGCTGTGTAGTGCTCTCAATCAGAATCTCAGTAACAGTGGAAAGGCAAAATAACCTGAGGTGGAAAAACTGGTATGTGTGATTAAATCTCAGCTCAAACGATTCTTTTGCTCATTTCAACTCCAGCCACAAAAGGCAACATTTAGCTAACACGTGCTGCGGCTTCAGGTCAAAAACAAAACACGTTTTCCTTTCATTTCCCAATTTTAAATGTGGTGTTGCAAGCAAATCAAACGGATCGATTTAAAGCTAAAGCTATCCTGGTGCAAATAACAAGAGGCTGGCAGCCACATGTTAACAGACTTCACCGTTTTTTAGTTGAAGTCTCTGTCGGGGAGCACCAGCGGGGCCACCAGGGTCCAGAGGTAAATGGCCAAGCCGAGCCAGCTGGAGCAGATCTTCACCCACACGGCCGGCATGGTGGTCTGCATGGCGCTGTAATCGGTCCCAGGTCTGATGAGCCAAGAACAGAGAGAGGTCAGTGTCTGGAGGAGTTAGCAGAGTTTGACAAATAACAGATACTTACTTGTACCAGTTGGTGAGGGTCATCATGATGTAGAGGGAGGCCAGCAGGAGGCTGAAGTGGAAGAAGGAGTAGCTGTAGGTAACAGCCTCCTCTTCGTTGTCCACAGCCCGTCGGGCTCCGTCCTCCCCCTCAACGGACTCGACGGCGGTCAGACCCTGGCCCTCCTCAGTCTGCATCAGCTTGTTCACCTGGGCGTTGTTGGAGGAGCGGATACTGTAGCAGGTGAGAGCGCGAGAAGTCATTTTGACATATAGTAACGAATGACAGGAGAATCTGAAATGTGTCATTTATCCTGTCTTTCTGCATTTTTTCAGTTCTAGCACGCCTTAAAATGAGTGAGGAACTTTAAAGTACAATTAAACATTTCCAGGACAATGTAGATTATTTCCAGGATATTTGGTCATTTTAATCAATTTCCAGGTGTTTTCATGACTTAAAAACTAGTTTATAAACTTCCGGGTTTTCCAGGACGTGTGGGAGCCAAGTGTGAAACTATCGTGACGTCACCCATTGGTTTGTGGGCCACGTTTTCAAACCTCGAGTTTGGCCTTATGGTTGTCGCCATGACAGTTTGTCGGAGCCAGCGGAGGTGACGTACTGCAAATTGAGCAGCTCTCATTGGCTCGCCTGGTCACACACAATCTGGTATTACATATCTGGTTAAACAGTACACCACCAGTAAATATGTTTCTGAAAGGATTTTAGTCGGGTTATTTCTCTGTCTCTTTCTAAGACTGCATGGTATCGTTTTTTTATTGCAGCCAATGGAGCTGCCCCCTGCTGGCCAGTACATAGAATGCAGGTTCTGCAGAAGACACTTCAGTGTTGGCTTCACTTTACAGACCCGGAAGCTCTGTCTATTATATGTACTGTCAGTGGTGGGAATTAATGCGCAGTTTCTGACTGCAGGAAAAAGATGCAACTTGCAATAAAACTTAAAAGTCTTATAAGTTATTTAAATGTCTACAATCTTCTTGTAAAGGCGAACCATGACCATGACAGGAAACCTAAAAACCAGCAGTAACAGTGTAATACCTGGCGTAAAGAGTACAGAACAAGAAAATGAGCAATCCCACGATGCTCTGTGCGTCCCACCACTGGATGTTTTGATGAGGAGGAGCAGGACCTGGTGCTGGAGTTGGGCTGGCGGGCTGGACCAAACTCAACAGACTGGGGTTACACTGCCGATCTGAGGTTGGAAACAAACACGTTACAGCAGACAATGGGGCAACTAGTTGTTATTACAGCCACAGGGAGTTTCTTTATTGTCCTCCCCAAAGTTAATTATCCTGGTTCAAGTTCTGAATAAAATGCAGTCATGTTGTGACTCCTTGGACTTACTGGGGTTGTTGGTCATGGCTGACCAGGTGATATACATGGTGTAGAGGGAGATGAGAGAGGCCTGGAGCAGACCTGAGCTCGGCTGGGCCTCCTGGGGAGACATGGGATGAGTCGAGAAATGAATCATTGTGCCAGACAGTAAGACACAACTCTGTTCATTCCTCACTCACAGAGAGAACCAAGGCTCAAGGCTAGGACACATTTTATTTGCATATTAGCTGGTTTTCTGGATTGAGCATCAAAAAGCAAGTATTCTCATTTCTTGCAAATAAACATACATCATTGAGAGTGGAGTATTATACAACAAGAACTGGGGCACAAAATATCAGCAGCTTAGTAGCCTCAGTCCATAAATATCCAGAACATCTGGCTTTTACCTGAACTTTAGGCAGAATGGCCACGATGGACACAATGATGCAGAATATGAAGTTGAGACTGATGAAGACCTTGTGCTCTGTGCAGCCGTCAGGCTGGGTGTAGAACACGTAGAAGAGCACAACAGCAGTAAAAGCCAAGGCGAAGTTGATGAAGGTGACAGAAAGCAGAGCTGCGAGGAAAACATGAGCAAAGGGTAATGTCATTAGACAATTACATAAAACTCAAATGTAGTTCAGTCAGTGTTACCTACGTCTGCATCTTATGTAGTTTGATTGATTCATCACTACACTGGTACACAGACATAAACATATCTGTCCCTCTGGGATTTTGCAGACTTTCTTTGGGATTGTTGTGGCCTAAATTGCTGGATTTGCTGGCAGTTTTCAAAAGAATTGCGATGCATGTTGTTACATTCCAGGAGAAACTGAAAATCAGTTTTGATTATTATTAGTTTTTAGTATAATTCATAAAGGCAATTAAAGGCAACTTGTTCCAGTGAGAATACAATCCCACTGTTTGGACAGGGTAAATATAAGATGTGTACATGTCTCCATGGTCTGCATCTTCACAACTAGAAACAAGAAAGTGAGTTTGGTGATGTGCGACTCAAAGTTGCTGTGATTGGACAGGCCTGAATTTTATACTTGCACTTTAAGGACCAGTGTGTAAAATTGAGTGGCATCTAGCATCTATCTGATTCAGATCCTCCTAAATGTTATACACTGGACCTTTAAAGGTTCTTTGTGATAAGTGGAGGGTGTGCTGCCACTCTACCTGCAAACCAGCACTTGCTGTTTCCCTCCTCTGCCCTCTCCAGCCAGGACTGGTTCCAGGAATGGGCGAAGTCCACCAGCAGGATGAGCTGGATGACGATGAACATGAATGAGCCCACCACGCCAAAGTAATACCACACTGAAAGCAAAAGGATTCAGGACATTTGTTCAGAGGGTTATTAGGCATTCATTTACAGTTGGAAAGAGGCTCTCAGTACAGTGTGTGCTATTGTAGGTAAACAATGATCAGCTGTGGTTGTTATATAAACTGATGTTTCGCTTATTTATTAATGAACATCAGAATTGACAATTGAATGTTCACTTGCGTGGTTACAAGTGGTTACTTAACATGAACACAAACAAAAATTTTAAAAAAGTAAAATAAAAAATGTATAGGAAATTACTTTTGTTTGTTCAAATTTGTCAAAAGCATATTGTTCTCTACAAAACCCTTCTTTTTAAAATGAAATCTAAATGCAAGCAGTCGTACATAAACGTATGATTCCGAAACAAACTAAATTAAAACAAAAGACTTTATGATAGAAGAATAGAAATCTAAGCTTCCATATCGGCACTTTTTGTAACTCGCTTTAATTAGTTTGAAGGTGTGTGAGCTGTGTGTCAGCTTCATACCTGTCGTAAACATGCCGTCTGGAATGAAGAAAGCTCCCACAGTTAGACCGACAAGCACCAGGAACTTAAAGAACCAGAAACTGAGAAAAAAAAAAGTTACTCTCAGTATGTACAGAACAAGTTTGTTTTTTTTCTGTTTTTGATGCAGTCCCCATGTTTGGCCACCAGAGTGCAGCATGCTTTCATCACACAGGACTGTGGTGCTGATGTGCACAGTACGAACCCATTTTGGATGGCGGCTCGGGGGTCCTTGCTGCTGCGCACTCGGATCATGATGATGAAGAAGAGGAAGAAGAAGCAGGCCATGGCGAAGCACATGCGGTACACTGACTTGTAGCCAACAATGATGTCACAGTTCACTTTGTTCTCCATGCCGGGAATGGTTGTTCCGCCAACACAGAACCCTGGAATCTGACAGAGTGGGAGCACATGAAGGAAATAATGGGTGGGGGGCAGGCAAGGACTAAAATTGTAAAATAACAATCATAATGCAAGCATCCAGTCCAGCTGCTCTATAGCATCACTGTCGCTGGGTTACAGCCTTATGAAACCTATCAGAATTATTTTCCTATTTTGGCTTGAACTGGATATGACCTGTGGGTCCATTAAATGAAATGAAACTCGTGCCTATTAAAGAGTCTGACGCATATGGAGCATTACATTTTATCTAGTCTAGTCTTATCTAATGTACCTTTTTAAGATGTTCCTCCATGCCTGGGAGAATCATAATGACAGACACCATAGTCCCGAGCAGCATCAGGAAGGAGAAGGCCAGTCGGCTCACGGTGGAGTTGTACGTTGATGGGCAGCATGATGACAAGAGGCAGGGGGCCGAGCCACACAAACAGGACGCCTGGAGAAGACAAGAGGGAGAGAATTAGCAAGGCCTTCTTACAGATTCATATTTTATGAAACTCAGGGACAGGGCTCTGGGGTGTGGGATAATCAGGATAATGCATGCATGGCTTGCAACGAGTGTGGAATTGAGAAAGATTCAAAATAAATAACAGTGTGTCTGCTGTCAGGGCAACAATCTTTCTCCTTCTCCTGCACGCTTCCAGAGAAGCAGAGACAAATGAGTTACAGTGGCAGTAATCAGGCCTGTGATTAGAGCTGCCATCATAACAAATCCTTCCCTCTCTGTTTCTTATCCAGCGCTGTGAACGGGATCACAGAGGAGTCCTGCATGATTCAGATGCACACTGCTGCTCAGAGGTGAGTGAAGCGCTGAGGCGGAGACTGTAGCTGGGCTCAGCCATCCTTCACTAAGTATGAGTGTGCACCAGAGTACACGAGCCTTGGGTGTAAACACTGCGGCCGTAACGAGAGGATCCCTGTTTCCATGGTTCAGAGCGGCCTACTGCCTGGGCAACAAACAACTCTTACACACAATTCTAATCCTATAATCAGCAGGGATGTACCGATATATCGGCTGAACATTGGTATTAGCAGATATTCGCTTTGTTGACTGACAACAGCCTGTTTGTGTTTCAAAATAAATATGCAGCTAGGTTTAACATTTTCCAGGATAACTTAAGATTATTTCCAGGATATTTGGTCATTCGAATACATTTCCAGGTGTTTCCATGACTGGAAAACTAGTCTCTTAAATTTCCAGAATCGGCGCGTCCCTAAAAACAGTCAAGACAAAAACTACAAAAATACCAAAACAAAAGAATATTACAAAGAACTCATAGTGATAATAACACAGGATATTAAAAATGACGGTGCACATATAAACTGCTTTTTACATGTTCTCTTTTGCTCAACTAAAAAGGGCTGAGTATCTAACCTCAACAACCTCACAGCTTCTTTATAAAAAAAGGAGTTTTGTAGAAGAAATTATGTTAAGTGAATAAACAGAAAATGTCAAGACCCCTGTGTTCACCAGGGATGATTTGTTGAGTCAGATTTAAAAAAGGTGAATATTGTTGTACAGCAAGTACAGAGCAACACAACAGTGACAGCGCTCCGAAGGGGACGACGTAGGATCCGGAGTAAAACCCGGAAATTGCCTTTTTAGAAAAACACCTTGCTAATGGGTGTAACATACAAAGCGAACACAGTCATTCGAAAACAATAACAGACGGATTATCGTATAGGAGAACTGTAAATAACGTCAAAGGACGGCACACATACGCCACCGTTATCACACCAAACTCTATTCAACAATCTGGCCGCCTTTATATCGCCTCGTAAGAACGTCATTGTGCGAAAACATTTCCGGAATGGTCTAAGAGTTAACTTAACTTGGGTATAACGTTAAGTAAACGAAGTTGGCACAGGTTTCTTCTCTTTGAATGACTGGTCCCGCGTTTTCACAACTTTCCCGCAGTGGAGGACGGTTAACAAACTGAAAAACGTCCGAGCAAATTTAAGTAACTTTAATGTCTTAGGTTACCTGGTTTATAATAGTGAGGTAACTTACGCCGAATTGAACAACTAAGTATTTAGTAGTATTTAATTCTTCCTAAATACATATATTATGTCACATGAGACGTTTACATATGTTTGCTCATAAGCAGCAGTAAAATGTCTGATTCTAAAAGCTAGTTTGACGTTTCGATAACATAACGTAATGTTGCCTTGGCTAAACAACGCGTGAACCCAACGCTAGATAAATTAGTCAAGGAATTGTAAGAAATACTAAGTTTACGTTTATCGTGTAGCAAACACTACAGCCGGCAAATGTATACTCACACAGTTGGCAAGGCAACTCACTGCCAAACAAGCACCCATTTTGGTTTAATCCACAGTTCTGATGAAAGTCCTAAAAGCTTAAAAACTTCAGGAAGAAACTGAGTCAAGATGGCGATGTCAAGTCAATTAAAAAAAAGACACAGAAATCCGTCTAGGTGCTTCAAAATAAAAGCTTTCTCATGCATACACGTACAGAAATATAATATGGTATGCACAATAACGGGATATGACACTATTTCAGTTGATTTATTATGTATTTTGGGGTAAATATCAATATGGAATGCGACGAATCCACGGGCTATCATGAAAGGTGTTATTGTCTGCAGATATGCGTTGACGTTCTCAGTTTTATTTTGAAGGCAAATTCTATTCTATCTTCTTCCGGCTTTGTTTGGGTAAATTCGGGGAAAGAAAATACATCTGTGAGTTTTCTTGACAAAGGGCGTTGCAGTTAAAACTGTTGCTTGTTGACCAACACCTAGACTGTGATTGGCCGAGTGAGTCGTCACTCCAAAAGTTTGACCAATTGGATTTTAATGCGCAAAAGCGAAACCATCAGTACAGTACAGTATATTGTATGTAGTTCAGGTAAAGTTAAGTTTATTATGTTAATTTTTTAGACCACATATTTCACTAAACAATGACTGTCACTGAAAAAAAGTCAACATGATGGAAAAAACTCAGTGTTGAAGATTAGATAGAAGGTTTTTGCTATTTTACTGTATGAAAAACCCTTATGTCTTAATACACTGTTGTAATCAATGTAAATTGCAATCATAATAAAATGGATTCTATTTATTCCTAATTTTATTGTGTATTCTACCGTTTTTCACCTTGTTAGGTCTCGTGATGTGTTTGTGGTAATCAAAATTGTGATTACTGTGACTTTGTTGAGTTTTTGCCTCCTGCAGCATCTCATATTATTCTAATTTAAGAAACACAAACTGGTTGGTATTAAAGTCTGCAAATCAGCCAGCGTGCTGCAGTCTTTACTCCCCACTGGAGTTATGTTGTTATTGTTCTTCTTCATAAATTGAAACATTTCATACTGAAGCTTTATATCCTATAATAACCACGCTGAGCCAGTGAGGTTTGTGCATTATTTTGAAGTCTGTGCCAGGATATTTACTACAAGGATATTATAGTCATGTTGTTTCCAGTTGCTTGCCTCAGTAATACAGATTCACACTTACTTCTTGTCCTCTAAAGCAGTGGTTCCCAACCTTTTTCCTTAACAGACCTCTTGTCTATCACTCAGTAAACTGACGACCCCTGACCAAGTGACATATTTTGGAGATATTTCAAATTATATTAAAAACTGTAGAATGAACCCAAACAGTGAACTCAGTAACTGCAGGACATTTGTATAAAATGAGTGATATGGATACATTGGATTTTTAGCAGATTATTTCCTCTTAAGTAAACATTTTACACAATTCTATGTAAGTCTATGTATTTTTTTTTTTTATCATTTTTATCAATCATACAGACTTAATAGGTTTCCTTTTTGAGAAATTCTTCTCATTGTTCTATCAGTTCTTTGCTTTCTTCAGGACGAGGCTGTTTATGAGAGACTGAAGGCTCTGTGAATATAGGTTGTGTACAGGTCTTTAAAGTTTGGATCTTAAATAATAATCTAAACTAAAATATTTGTTTACTTTACTTTAAATTGACTTTTCTTCAAAGAAATGAACCAAATGCTGAGATATTGGCCTACAGTGTATATTTTCGTTTTTGTACGTTTTTGGTTCTCAGCCCCAGGTTGGGAACCACTGCTCTGAAGGAAGACTAGATCATTTTTGTATACTTTATTTTTAAATGAATAAATACAGCAGTGTAACACTCAGGATACGAGCGTTTACCATTTTAACCTGATTCTGTTCAGTGTGGTGACACAGCCAATCCATAAGGTTTTTGGATGTTTGTCTCTGTTGTGAGTCTGACAGTCATTAAAGCTGAACTGTGACACTCATTGGGTCTTCAGAGGAGCGAAGGGGAAGTCTGATAAATGTCCTCCAGTGATGTCAGAGGAGTACTACAGCCTGCTATTCCCTTCCTGTCCAGCGGTAGTCCTCAGTGTTCTCCCATCATTTGTCATCATCCACCTGCACACATGCTCCTGATTCCCTCATCTGCTACCCATAATATTCCTGCAGATTATCTGTTGTGCCATCCATCCATCTGCTTATTTTGCCTGGTTTGTTTTTTATCCTTATTTGGACACTTTCCTGCCAGCTTATGGCTCTTTGGATCTGGTCTCTTGTTGTGATTGCCTGCCTTATGCTGAACCTTGTTCTGTTCATAGACCCAGTAAAATGAACTTTGACCTGTTTGGTCTGTGAGTTGTGCATTAAACTTCGTTTAACTAAGCCATTACATTGACAGCCTCACTGTTTTTTTGTTCCCTTTTGTTTTGTTGTTGTTTTTTTCAGAACTATACAACCCTTAAAGACATACAGTATATATAAACAATCTGCTTGGAACAATGATGTGTGTCTGACATGTTGTTCCCACAAGAAAAACACAATTTCCGTATTAAAATCTCCTCCTTCTACCTCATTAAAACTTCCAGAATCTCTGAATATGCAAATGTTGTTCATTTCTAAAGTGTTGTGTTTTTTGTCTCCCTCTTCACTGTAAAGTCCATTCTCAGTGGATGTGCACTGGTGGCTTCAAGTTTCTACATCACACTGTACAAGTTCCATACTGGACCAGGACTGACTTCATAAGTATTTGTGATGTCACAAATCCTGCTGGTAGGCCCCGCCCCTTAAAATCTGATGTTTAATGAGCTCAGAGAAACTTTCCACTTTCAGCAGATGAATGTGAAAACATCTTTCTGGTGTCAAACTCTGCAAATACAGCATTCACACAGCTCACTGTAGGGACACAAACTTTTAAATATCACTGATGCAACAGAACATTTCAGAACATTTCTACTAAAGAGAAGGGAAAGGCAGTAGCAGCCCACATGCATTATAAAGGCCACTGCAAAGTCGCTGTATAGCCCAGTTATATGGCTCAAATCTAAGTAATACTGATGTAGTCTGACCAGAGGTAGCACGCAGTGAGTAAACAGGTGTGACAGGGAAGGTCAGACACTGAGTTTAAAGCAACAGGGGGGGGGCAAACCTCCATCTGTTTGTGTCTGACCTTCAGAAATACAGCGAAGGTGTTCACCTGTGAATAATCAGTGCAAAGATAAAGCTTCTGCTCCTCCACACCTTCACCTTCCTCCAGTCTAAAGAACAGCAGCTTCTAATGTACTCAAAGGAAAGCAGATTGGTTCACATTACTGCGTGGGTTAATGAGCAGTCGAATGAATCTGATGTTAATCAGGTAACAGCTTCATTACTGGTATTATGCCATCATTCCTTGAGGGGCTGAAAGGGACCTTACATGTCTGCTTATGAGGCTCCCCATCAGTCAATAGTATGATATATACATGTTCCCTATCATTGTCCTGTGGCTCTGTTGCATGTTACCATCTTTATTGGTACACTGCAGCAGTTTGATCATAATACATATATTGAGAATGTAGAAAAGCCTGTTGAGTGAAGCAACCGCAGCCTTGGATGGAATATCAGTTGACTTTGCTCTTACTGGACCACTGTTTTCTATTTTAAGGTGGTTGTGTCTACAATGCTTGGGTTTGTTATCTGTGTAATAAGAATGAGATAAAGAGATCAAGTAAAGGACCAGGGCTGAGGACACATTACTGAGTGACTGGCTTCTATCTAACCACAGGTGAAAAGGCGATTCCATTTCCTAATATTTGACTGTGTCTGTACGGTGCACCCCTTAACAAAGAGACAATGGTACAAACCTTTGAGCAGCAGCGGCAAGGCAAAACGGCCAGAGTCAGCGACAATTACACCGGAAGCTGGACCACCGTGACTTCAAAATAAAACAAATCATGACAATTGAAAAAAATGTTATCAAAAACTACCAGTAATAATAATAAAATAATAATTTCAATGCTAATGAATTAAATAATAATTATATAGGCTGTAGTATCTATTTTGAATGTCTAATGAGTGAAACTTAAACATAGGCTCAGTGGTATTATTGAAGCATTTCATTGCATTATGGTAAATGGTGTTTTCAGTGGAAAAGAACTGCGTTTGGCTGTGATAGGCCTGTAGCTTCAGGTCAGACAGAAAAGCCGGCGATGAAATGATTTAACATTTTAGACCTCTAGAGCAGGATACAATACATTATATAAAATGTTACCAAGCTATAAAGAAATCCGTTTATTTTGGGCAAAATATTCCCATCATCTTTATTGTTGCTGTTATTATTTATTTATAATTGTTTTCTGTGCATAGTCTGATAGAGTGTGGTTTATCTGCTGCTCCACTTCATACTTAGAACTAAAGCTTCTTTCCCTCCATCTTCTCTCCCTCGACAGCTTTTCTGCTTTTACTTTGAAGTAAACCCCTCCGTTTCCTGTGTCCTCCGAGCTGCGTGCGTGCCCCTTGACGCTCCTCCCTGTTGCTGCTGGGAATGAGCGCACGGTGAAGTGCTCGGTGGTATCGGCGCTGAGTAGTCACTACGCCGCGGGTCCGGCGGTGTCAGCTGGAATGAAGCAGTGTGATGTGTCGCACCGGACGGAGCCCCTGACACCCCGCACTCTCTCTTCTTCGTCCCCGCGGAAGATGGTGGCTGGCGGCTAGTTCCAACTTCGGACTCCTTGGCTTTATTCCCTGGCGAAGCGCGCTGAAATCACTTGGTGAGTGTCCGTCGTTGCGCACATACACTGTCACCTGTTCTGCTCCACAGGTAGGACATCAGACTGGCGGCTGCTGCTGCGCGCTGACGTTACCGAAACCTTTGAAACAGCCAGAGGCATGAGGGCTGGAGAAGAAGCTGCTGGTTACAGTAGATTGCAGGGCAGGCAGGGAGGAATCAATGATGCATGCTGGAGCCGTTATCTGCACTGAAACTGAAAAAAAAAAAAATAATATAAGAACAAACAACAAGTCATGATCATGTGACCAACCTATCCGCCAACACCAGTCATATCTGGCATCAGCTGCAGGCTTGTTCAGATTTAAAAGCAGGCCAGCTCTAGCAGCCTACCTGTCACCTCCATATGGACTCTCAGCATTGTGTGCATCAGCTGTTCTAATGAAA